AATTCAATATCTGAAATTCGTAAGTTTATGCCTGCAATCATATCGGACATCAGTTATAGTCGATTATAATCTAAGATTTATCGAATTCAATAGTGACTGGCCAAACATCCCAGATATGGATAATTGAGCGATGGGCATTTAATAATTTTATCCTGTCTCGCGGCTTCATTTACAGACAAATATTATTATTGAAATAAGAACAACAAAAACCAAAACAAAAGACTAAGAAAAGAGGCTACGATCTTTAATGAACTAATATATTGAATTGGTATTGAGTTTAGGCAGTCACAAGGCAGGTGCTTTATTGCAAGAACTGGAGAAGATTGGAGAGGAAAAGAAGACTTCTTTAGGATTAGGATATTGGTGTATTGCCATTGCATGGCCAAATCGGATTCTCGCAAATGTTTTCATCTTAATTTTGTCAATACTTGTTGATTTCGAATCGTACATAGGAGATGCCAATAGTCACTAGCCAGTATTGCAGCTTTTTCTTCAACTAGACTCGTGAAGACTTAGGTTGGAGTATCCTCTTTTTCGCTTTAAGCTATCGAATGTTGTTCTTTAATTTCTTTAAATTCAAAATATAACTTTGATTAAAGATGTTCTTGTAAAGTATTTTACTGTAAATTTAATGAATTTTAATAGAAGCTTGGCTTTGAGATTGATTTTCCTTTTATGCTTAAAGAGAAACGAATGCGAAATCCTTTCGTATATACTGCCCATGTTGTATAACTTGCAAAATTGGCCAAAATCGTTTAATCTCTCATATCTTCTCTGTTAAATACATCATAAAACCTAATAACTCTGTTACCTTAACAATCAAGTAATGCCCTCTGTGGCAAAAAAATGCATTACGAAACTCTCGACAACCGCATATTTAACAATCTCTCGTTTAGAATGTTTTGAATTTTTTCTTTTTTTTTTTTTTTGTTGAGTATTTTTTTCTTCTTCTTCTGTACATTGTTAGTTTTTATAATAGTTTTTGTATACAGTATTTTCTTTTTTCTTTTTACCCTCTAACAATTGTGTCGGTTTTTGAGAATGTTGCTCTTATGCATTTTGCTCGGCTTGATAAAAACATTTTGACATTATATGTCGAGCTTAATATCTGCAAAAACGAAGTTTCATTGCCTGACATATATTCAGTGGCCTGTTGACTTTATACTCTTGTTATATTCTCATAAAAAATGTAAGGAATTTTTTTGTTTTTGGCCTTTTGTCACATTACAAGTACACGATGATATTTTACACCCACGGCAAAGAGAGCTTCATGAACATATATTTATATATATATAAATATATATATATGCAAATGAAACTTATTGAAAAAGCTGAAAAGTTCTGTTTTCTCTTCTTCTTTTTTTTTTTTTTTTAAATTTACTTGAACTTACGGTGAATATAATTTATGAGCACACAGGTAACTTTTATAGCTTTAAATTATGAAATTATTTTTCACTTTTCAAGAATAGCAAAGAACTTTGCACACATTATACTGACTTAATTTATAAACATTTCTGCTCACAAATGCTTATAAAATTGAAAACTTTACAGTTCAAGTTATAACGCGTTTTCGTTTCTACATATATATACATTATCGTGTCGAGTGTATATGATAGAATATGAGAAACTGCTTACTAAACAAGCAGTAATCAAGTCAGAAATAATACTAAAACAATGATTGAATAAATTATTTTAATCGAGCCTCTCCGATGTTCCATGAGCTAATCTATCCTTATTTTCTACAAAGTAAAATATCCTAACATGGCTCAAAACAAAAAAATAAAATAAATAAATAAGTGAAATAAAAAGAAGTAAGAAAATTAAATTCGGTCGGCACCTAATCTTTTGTACCCATCACTGTGTACCCAAAAAAAAAAAACAAGAGAAAAGAACAAAATTCTCATGCTCTTTAATAAAAAGTGGGCGCAGTTGATTTCTTCTATTTTCAAAATAAAAGTTTTTTTCGCATAGGCGTGCAGACGTAGTAGGCGTGTCGTTCGAAAATTTTAAGTCAATTTCAAATTCTTTCGCAAATTTTTAGGCGATATCTTCATTTTCGCTAACAAGAAAATGTCTACCACAATTAATACACAGTTGCGCAAACAGAGAGATGGACAAACGAATAGGCGAACATGTTTAGATGCATTCCAAATTTGAAAATAGCCAAGAGTTTATCACAAATGGACAAATGCTGCACCCCCGCCCATAGAATAAGCATAGAATAAGCGTTCAATTTTTGTACATTTGTTTGTTATAGTTTATGAGACATGAGCAAAAAACCAATTTTTCGTTTCCTTTGAAAAACAGGGGTGTTCTTAGTTTACGTGGTGCTGTGGGTGTGTCCTTCGACCGATTTGGCCTATTTTCAATACCAACCTGCGGGCAAGGACGTTCAATGTTTCTGCCAAGTTTGAACTCTATAGCTTCATCTTTGCGCTCAGGGGAATGTTTACAACAGACATTATACATAATTATGAACAGGGGTTCTTTGGCAGACGAATCCGACCAACTGTCTCTATCAGCTACGTATAAGAATACATTAGCCAAGTTGTAGCTTTCTATGACTGACTGTCCAAAAAGGAGAACGCGCACAGACGAACGATGAGCATGCACAGATACATACCAAGTAAACTATTAAAAAACCCTACAATTCCCTACATAGTGATTCATATAAGAATTTTTCAAAATAAGGCATCATATGAAAAGCAGTCGAAAGAATAGTCCGATCCGAAATACTTTCAAGAGCGCTTATCCTTGGGCGAAAATACGCTGGTGAGGTTTAATCAAAAACATATCTCCAAAGCTACGACCTGTAGATTGAACAAAAGAAAACGAGATGGACTCACAAGCTTAGATCGATTCAAATAACGATTCTGAATTGATCGATATACTAAAGAAAGATGGGATTATCTCAAATCTTTCTCGGTGTTGCATAAATTTAATATACCCTTACATAATGAGTGGCGTAGGGTGAAAAAATACCTGAATCGGTCAATATTCTTATGCTGATAGGGATCATACATCCTTAAGGAGTCTTTGAATTGCATTTCTGGATTTCACAACTAAAATGACCGAGAGAAGAAAACAAACCACCAAACGAGGCTTTAGAAATGGTAAGATTAGCCTAGCCCTTCTCCTATCTTTCAGACAGAATACGTAGTTCATACGGAAAAGGTAGCTGATCTTTTGAGGCCACTCATCATAAGAATGGAAACCATGCTCGAATTGACAATAAGTTGCTGACTGACGTCTGCACTAATCAAAGAGATTTAATGTCCGCTGAATTCGTCGAAGAGAATACCAAATTCCAATTCAGTGCGGTTAACATTTCCTGAACGAAGTTTTTTTCTACGAGCGTCGTTATGTTGAAAAACCATCAAAGAAGAAAAAGATCGCATTTAACGATTTTTTACCGAACAGCTTAGCTTATTTAAGCTTAAAAGAAATCTCTATTGCTGGCACGTCGGTATGATTACTTATACTGGTATGTGTAATGTTTGAAAGGGCATCGCTGTCAGATCGAGTTAATGCCCTGTGGCAGTCGTGGTAATGTCTCTCCTAGAAAACAGCAAGATGCTTATTCAATGTTGTGTAATAGAAAATAAAATTTCTTCGTTATTGCTATGAGGAAAAACAAATTTTATGATTTCTTTTGAATTTGTTGTGCTTTCTTTCATTATAAAGTCCTCATTAAAAAGCGCTTTACAAAGGCAATTCTTCCTTGATTTTGAATTCAAATTATTTTTTATACCTTTTCATCTTTAACTTTCGAATGGGTTTTTATAGATTTATTTCTTGCTTCTGAACAATATCAAGATTATGTTGTAAAATTATTCTTGAACGAATTAAATCGAATAGAACGCATATATATATATACTTTACGCATATATACTTTTCATGGTATGAAATATGAAAAAAGGGAAATAGCTTTGGCATCAACAAATAATATCCGAAAATGCTTAACTTCCGATTTTTATTGAAAGAGACAAGATCTACTAACTTATTCTTCTTTATAGCGTATAAATACATAAGCACAGCATATCTTATTATATACTCAGTAGTAAGAATATATAAATAATATAAAATAACAACGACAGAATCAAAACGATAATAACAAGACCATGAGATGATGCTGCAACTTTCTTTATAGTTATATATTATGTTGCTCTCTTTATACCTACTCAACTTTTGTATTTTACTTACCGCAATCTGTTATTAAAATTTTTCATCTCTTGTATAGTGCCTTCCGAGACTCTCACTTGTTTTACATTGGCGAGCCGAAGAGTTCAGGTAGGGTAACAGCTTTAGTTAGCTTAGGCAATTAGGGTCGCAAGTTCATTTCGCTTTCTGGTTAGATGAACGGAAAACGAAGCAATATAAACGGATGTTAAGAAATAATATTGCATTCGATATGCAATCAACGAATTCTCGACCATGTTTTTCTAAGGCGTTTAATAATTGCCACATTTTGAATATTGAACTTAAAAGAAAAGTTGAGTAAAATAAATAAAAAAAAATGAAAATGAAAATGAAAATGAAAAATGAGGAATGAGGAATGAGGAATGAAATTTTGAATTTATAGCGATTATCAATTTATATGAAAGAAATTATTACACAATATAGTTAAGGATATTTGCAACTTATGAAAATCCAATTAGTGTAAAAATTGAAAATACGTTTGGTTATATTAATATTCTTTGATATCAGGGAAGAAAGCTTCCTTCTCAATGTAATATATGCTTGAAGTTTTACAACAGCACCACCAACAGCAACAACAAAAATGTTGATATAATTTCCTTTAAATTTAATTAAATTGATCAAAATTCATCTTGTTACATATATGAATCGATCCTTTAAATATGTTATGAGATTTTATTCATTCATCCGTTTCCAATACCATATACCTAGTGCCTGACTTAAACATTTGTTTAACATTTTCACTTATTATTGTCTTTTCCTTTTTTATTTGTTTATTTATTTATTTGCTTTTCGACTTTCAGGCTGAGATATGGAGTGTTTTTATAGCGATTTTACGCAAAAGTGTACGTAACTTGCAAGCTTGCACCGATGTCGGTCTTATCGAGCACGTACTAGTACGTTTGCAACGGTCCGAAACCGTTGTTGCTGGTAAGTATTTGCATACATTTAATTTTTTTTTATTTATATTAAAAAAAAGAAAAGAAATCATTTTAAATTCTATGTATATTGATGAACACCCTATGAATGATTAATTTGCTTAATGTATTTGGTCAAAATAAGTAAATAAAATGAATGGACGGGCGATTTCGTTTAAACCATACAATAAAAATATCATTAAAAAATTTCTATGTCTAAATGTAGGCAATGAATATTCATTAATTTTCGTTTCCATTTAAGTTCATTTAAATTTCCTAATTGATTTTGCTTACATATATTGTCTCTCCCTCTCTCTCTCTCTCTCTCTCTCTCTATTTCTTAAAAAGTCAATAACCTAAATATTCTCGCTACCATTATCTTCATCAAACCTTTTAGATCCTTTTACTTAGGTGTCAAAGTGTGCGTGGGTGGGTTTATATGCGCCACTTATATGACAATGTCAAAGCAAACATAATGTGTTTTCTTTTGAAAACAAGACTTACTTATATATATATATTTACATACTTGTATTCTTTACATTGAGACGTGACGTCTTGCAAAGGACCATGACACTCTCAAGCAATAGCGACCATAACAGCAATAATAACAAAAACAACAAGATGAACAATAATAAAATGCTCAGCAAGTATATAATATGCACGTCAACACAAAATGTCTGCATAATTGAATTAACTGACAATTGACAACCGAAACCTATTGAGCTTAATGATGCTGTCGTCTCCATTTAAATTGAATGCGGCACGTTAATAAGTGTCATGACCCTCAATTGAAGGAAATGAATGTACGATAGAAAATAAAACAAAAACATAAAATAGTAAACGATAGTAGTAGTGTCTGATTATATAAAGATTTCATGCAAAGTTATAATTATATAAAATTTTTTACCTGATGCAAAGCAAGCGATAAACATTTTATATATACACGTATGCATAAAGAGACCGGATTACACTTTTGTATCATACTGTTCGTACTGTTCATACTGTTCACACTGGCTGGCACAAACAATCTCCACTGTGTGCGTATCTCTATATTACTATTTTTTTTTTTTTTTTTTATTACATTCTAATTAGACGTCAACTCATTAAATGCGAGATGCTTTTCTATTATTCTCTTTCGGTTTTTTCACATGCTGCCAGACACGTAACTTAAGAAATTATGGTAATTCGTTGTTGTGTTATATATGTATAGGTGCAATTTTTTTGAGATTAAATCAAGAGTTCATTAGGTGTATACATGTACAAAAAAAGATAAATAAATAAATAAATAAATAAATAAATTAAAATAAAGTTTTCGGAAAGAAGAGAATTTAAATGCAAATAATAATATCGAAAAAGAGAGTAAAGTACGTTTTTATTCGAGAAAAGAATACCTTTTATTAAAAAAGTATTATTATTTATTATTAAATGAAAAGCCTCATTGTAGTAAGTAGCTATCCAAGGGGCATTGACTTGCTATGTTAAGCAAATTAAATTAAAATGCTACGAGTGAGTAGTACATTTAAATGAATCGTGGATATCTGCTACCTTCACTTGGCATCTTTTCGTATACAGCTTCAAGAAATACTCATCTCAAATCATAGATCTAATTAATTCTGTGTTATTGTTACTGATGTACAGACTACTGAAGATGCTTTCAAACTTTAACTTGTACTACGGACTTAGATCAGTGGCATTTATTGGTGAAAATGATAAGTAATGCCATGTATTAACATACGACGAAAACTGGATCTACTACGACAATTCCAAGAGGAAAAAGTCATGAGTTAGTCCACGAGAGCCAGTCACATCGACGCATTCAGTCTTACTTATAGTGTATTACGAGCTGTCGAAACCGAATTAAACTGTTACTGGAGACGTCTACCGACGTCAATTCGGTAAATTAATTGAGATATTGTTGCAAAACGACCAGCAATAGCGGCTAACAGACGTTATGTCATCCTTTCGCGTGACTACACTCGGACGAACGTTGCAAGAATAGTCAATGATACAGTATTGCAGCTCGAATGCGAAGTTTTGCCGCACTACGCTTAATCATCAGACATAGCATCTTCTGATTACCACTTGTGCCGTTCGCAAGTGCCTTACCTGGCAGGCAATTTCGCAATGCTGCAAAAGTGCGAAAATGGGTCGTTTATTGGCTTGCTGCCGAATCAATCTTTCGACACGATACCGTCATCTTGCCAGAATGATGGAAAAAAGTGTGAAAAAATGCCGAAAAATATTTTAATTGAATTCCGCCATTTTTCCTCAATAAATGCGTTTTTCAAGTGACAAAATGATCGGAATACAATGCAAACACCTATTACAATTAAATTCTAACGATGTGCAAATCAGCGGACAAGGTCCAAATCGGCTGACAACCTATTTTGTTTATGATCTTGGAGGCGTGTTTGTAAGGGTTACGAACAGAATAACAACATTACCATGTAAAAAGTGTAAAAAGGAGTGAATTGGCAAGAAACCAATTTCGGTACTCTCTTAAATATTTTTCTTCCTTCTCGAACTCTTTAAACAATTATAAGAAAATTTTGCTTTTTCACTTTACTACATTTTTCGCAAATTCTGTTTATAAGTGCTGCCTTTACGAAACTATTATAAACACTTTAATCGAAAGTTTTCGTGATATGATGAAGGACACAAACACATTTTAAATATAACCGCCAAACTTTAATAGGGGAATAGTGCGTTGCATTTGTGCGCTTGAAAAATCTCCTTCGATAAAATCTATTCCTATTAAACCTGGACTCTTTTCATGCCTAATAGTACTGTGTTAACTAACAAATATAAAAAAAAAACATTACCGTGTCGAAAATCCATGCTTACTTACCTCCATCAATCGATAAATTTAGATATGAGAACACGTTTCTTAATTGATTCTCAACAAAGTGGTTTTAGTTGGTCGTTTGCAGCTGAAGGCATAAAAACTTAGCAAGAAGAAGGGGAAGCAAAATGTTCCGACCTCACAGGATGAGTCTCTTTTTCCTACTTTAGAGGCTTTTATTCCATTCGCTTTGGTTCGTCTTGCAGGGCTTCGTTTATTTCATGAGCTTGATCTTTTAATATTTTTAGTTGGACCAGTCGAGCTAGATTCAGAGGCCACTTATGCTAAATATTCCGCTGCATTACTATAATTCTTCTGTCCGAAAGCGTAATGTACATTCCATCAATAATCGACATTTAATAAAAGTACACTCTATCTTGAATTCTTTACACCTTGTGTTTGATCTCTTAAAACTCTCTTAAGCCAAACACCTTGTTACTATATAAGCCCTAGACTCGAAGGTACGTAGTTCAGTCCATATAAATATAATAAATATACTCTTCTGTTAAGCTTTGTTTGATTTTATTGCTACGTGACCAGACGACTTATAAACGAACGAAGTAATTGTCATTTGGCGTAGCCGTGTATTTATAACAATATATTCCGGAAATTATATAAAAAAAAAAAAGGTAAAAAATAAGATGACGTAAGATAAATGCACCATACTTTTTCAAATCATTTATATTTCGAAGAAAACGTTAAATCAACCATTAAATCTTTTACGAGAAAACGTTGACTGTGCAAGGAAAGAAAATACCGGTACATAAATATGAAACCAAAATTCTTGGGTCCAAATAAACATTTATTGTATGAAAATTTGATTCAAAGTATTGCCCATCGCTAACTATACATTTTGCCCAAGTGGCTGACAATTTTGTGGATGCCAGGTCTTCAAAAATCTTCCTTTTTTTCCGCACACTGCTTATTGACTTGTTTTTTTTCTGTCTTCGTGTAAACGAAAGTGTTGGTCAAATGAATATCGGTACGGTTAAGCAAGTACATAGCTTGCTCTAGTACTTCTCAGTTGAATACAGTGAGTAGGCTATGTGTGTGGACGGACGGACGGATGTCATGTTAATGAATGATCTCGTATTGCTTTTTATTTGATATTTCAGCGAAACGTTGAAGTTGATTAATTACTGTTGGTAGCCTTGGGGAAAACCATTTCGCCAGAGTTTAGCAGCTAATAAGTGACCGCACTCCCTGGCTCCCATCAAAAGAAAAATCCCCAGGCTATGTGAGGCAAAAAAGGCCAGCCTTCGTATCGTTCGGCCAAAGACAAAATGCTATCGGCACTTGCCCTTTATTTGGCACAAATACAAAATCGAAATTTCGTTTTCAAAAAAAAAAAAAGTTTTGCCTGGCGATATTTATCGCCTTGTGTGTAAGCCAGATCCGCAAGCTATCCATATAGAACACAACTTCGGATAATTATGTCCTCTACGCAAGACCTTAGTGCCATTTATGGGCGAATTTCGATATAGGTTTGTACACCTGACATATATATATATATATCAGATTTTTTTTTGTATTAATGAGAAATTAAAAAAATCATATCATAAGCAAAAATATTATTTAATAATGGAATTAAAAATTTGTAACGCCAAATAGGATGACAAAGTCGAAGAAAAAATTGAAAGAGAGAATAAATCGCAGTAAAAAAAAAATCTAATTTTTGTTCATCAAAGTAAACGGTCTACACATACATGCATATTCGAAAATTTTATAAGGAAGTTTCTGATTCGCTTCCTATTGACAAACTTTCAAGTTTCACTTTAAGTTTGATCCAAGCAAACGGACTCTATCCGTATCTTTCAATCGTCCTTCAAAATAAATTTGTGACGTCAGTTTAAAAGTCTTATGAATTGGTTAGAATTGCATTAAAAAATCGAGTGGCTGTCGCCACAGGTTACAGTTTATTTTTTTACACTGCAGAAAAGGGAATTTTTTGTTCCTTCGGCAATTTTGCACAACTGTTTTGAGTGGACACATTAGCTACTCTTATTGACTTAGTTCAGTTAAACTCAACAGAAACAAAAAAAAGATTTTCGTTACAATAAATACTGTTTTCTTACACAAAAAAAAAAAAAAAAAATTAAAGGCAAAGGAAAGCAAAAATTTTATTTTAATTTTATCGGTGATATCGTTTTCGCGAAGGTTAGAGGCTGTGC